TGCTAGGGGACATGAATATCCTGTTGAGAAGTTTTGTACAAATGAATATTGTAAAGAGAAAAGATTATTTTGCTTTGAATAATGCTCTAAAATTGATTCCATACATGGAAATCATAATAAAGATACTGAAAAAATTGAGAAACTTTGTGAATATTTGAAAGACTTATCTTAAGAATGCAATAAAATAGTAGAGGAGATAGAAATCTAATTTTCAAAAGTGTAATAACATTTCAAGCAATTTAAATCAGGAATTCTAGCTACGTATTCAATAATGGAGAGTGATCTGTTAAATTTAAATTCAAATGAAATTAGTAATATTTTAAGCAACTTTATTAAATTTAATAAAGAAAAGCACAGGCTAGCAGAGTAGTTTATAGAAATCACTGACAAATTTATATAAAATCTAAAAGATTACAGTGAAGAATTTGAAATAAATCAGGTCGAAGATTCTGAAGATGAAGTTCCTTGTAATCCTTAACCATTTTCATATGAATTAATGAAAGAAAACAATAAAAACTCATCAATAAGGTGTTTATCTTTTGCATTTAATGATAATTCATCTATTATTGTAGCTGGATTAGAAAATGGTACAATTAAAATATTTGAATTAATAAATGAATTGATGAAAGAAAAATAGATACTTAAATATCATACAGATGCTGTCTATTGCTTATAGTTTATGACTAAATCTAATCAATTTGTCTCTGGAAGTGGAGATGCAAGTCTAATAATCTGGTCGATCAATGATAAGCAAGAATGGTTTAAAAGTTCTAAGTTGATAGGACACACTCACATTATGATGTGTTTAACGATAGATTATAGTGAAAATTTGATATTTTCAGGGAACTGCGATCGATCTATTAAAATTTGGGATAAGTAGTAAAATTATGAATGTATCTAAACTATAAATGAAATACCAGGAGACATATAATCATTAAGTTTGAATTCTGGATAAAACATGCTGATTTCTTGTTTTGAATAATCAAATTAGATAAATGTGTATGAAAAATTTCATAATAAATGGAATTTTTACAAGATGATATCAGTATAGCTTTGGGGACATAGACTATGTTTTATAGACAAGCAAAGATTTGCATTTTAACCTTATGCGTCTAATTTCATGGAAATTTATGAATTAAATCGAAATACGAAGGTGTTTACTTAAATACATTAAGTTGAGGTGTAATCAAGTTATAAATGTGATGCTTTATTCCCTTAGCAATTTAATAAATAAAAATCTATTTTAATAACCAAGAATGGTTAGCATGTGAATTTATACAGAATTATGCCAGATAAAACAATTTTAAGTTAAGAACCAATAAAGTTTTGTAATGAATTCGTATATGGAGCATTAGATAAAAAGGGTGAATATTTAATTACATGGGATGATTTTTCTTAACAAATATAATTAAGAAAATACAAAGAAAAGAATTGAAATTATAAGTTGTTAATTTAACACTATATCATTTTTTTAATTCTTTTTCACGTATTAGATTATTTAGGTTCTTATAAAATCAATTGTTTTCTTTTTCTTAATAAATAGTCTATATTACTATCTTATATTATTCTAATTTTTAAATTTGCTATTATGCTCTTTTTCTCACTTCCTAAAAAATGAATAATTATAAGATGATTTCTTTGAATAGGGATCTGGTGGTTATTTACTATTGAAATCAATAAGATTTTAATTACTAAGTTTGTTCGCTTACAGATACATATTTCGAATATTTATAACATAGTATTTCTAGGCTGATCTCAAAAATTGAATAAAAAGAGTTAATCATTTTTTTCAATGTATTATTTATTTAGAATCAACATAAAAGAAATTTGAGATGACAAAGTTACTGGGTTTACAAATAAATCAGATTTATCATAGACGTTATCATTAATCTGATAGAGATAGATAAATTTGGGGATTTTAAATTATTTAATATATATGGGATAATTTGTTATTGAGTAAATATATATAGATTATTACAATATAAATGTTACAACATCCTAAGTAAAGCACACATAAATTCGAAATTTTACCAGAAACAACTACAAAAATTAATTATTCTTCATACGCTAATGCTATTAATTTGAAAAAGACTCTGATAATCATAGGAACAGGCCGTAAAATTTAAGTATATGAGATCCCTTATATAAATGGAGAACCAAAGTAGCTGAAATTGATTTAAAAACTTAAAGAACATTCAAATGATGTTTTAGCCCTTTAATTCTTTAATCTGCCATAAAAAAATGACTCTTTCGTCTCTGGTGCTGCAATGGTTGATAATTCAATAATCATATGGTCATAGGTACAAAATCCAAACAGCCCTATTTAATATGGTATGTAGTATAGATTGAAGGGACACTAGGATTAGGTGTCCAACTTACTTATTCATCCAATTAGAGAGGATATTATTATTTCAGGTTCTCAAGATTCAACAATAAAATTCTGGTCAAAAGATCATGAATGGAGTTGTTAGCAAACAATGAATGAATTTANAAATGGTACAATTAAAATATTTGAATTAATAAATGAATTGATGAAAGAAAAATAGATACTTAAATATCATACAGATGCTGTCTATTGCTTATAGTTTATGACTAAATCTAATCAATTTGTCTCTGGAAGTGGAGATGCAAGTCTAATAATCTGGTCGATCAATGATAAGCAAGAATGGTTTAAAAGTTCTAAGTTGATAGGACACACTCACATTATGATGTGTTTAACGATAGATTATAGTGAAAATTTGATATTTTCAGGGAACTGCGATCGATCTATTAAAATTTGGGATAAGTAGTAAAATTATGAATGTATCTAAACTATAAATGAAATACCAGGAGACATATAATCATTAAGTTTGAATTCTGGATAAAACATGCTGATTTCTTGTTTTGAATAATCAAATTAGATAAATGTGTATGAAAAATTTCATAATAAATGGAATTTTTACAAGATGATATCAGTATAGCTTTGGGGACATAGACTATGTTTTATAGACAAGCAAAGATTTGCATTTTAACCTTATGCGTCTAATTTCATGGAAATTTATGAATTAAATCGAAATACGAAGGTGTTTACTTAAATACATTAAGTTGAGGTGTAATCAAGTTATAAATGTGATGCTTTATTCCCTTAGCAATTTAATAAATAAAAATCTATTTTAATAACCAAGAATGGTTAGCATGTGAATTTATACAGAATTATGCCAGATAAAACAATTTTAAGTTAAGAACCAATAAAGTTTTGTAATGAATTCGTATATGGAGCATTAGATAAAAAGGGTGAATATTTAATTACATGGGATGATTTTTCTTAACAAATATAATTAAGAAAATACAAAGAAAAGAATTGAAATTATAAGTTGTTAATTTAACACTATATCATTTTTTTAATTCTTTTTCACGTATTAGATTATTTAGGTTCTTATAAAATCAATTGTTTTCTTTTTCTTAATAAATAGTCTATATTACTATCTTATATTATTCTAATTTTTAAATTTGCTATTATGCTCTTTTTCTCACTTCCTAAAAAATGAATAATTATAAGATGATTTCTTTGAATAGGGATCTGGTGGTTATTTACTATTGAAATCAATAAGATTTTAATTACTAAGTTTGTTCGCTTACAGATACATATTTCGAATATTTATAACATAGTATTTCTAGGCTGATCTCAAAAATTGAATAAAAAGAGTTAATCATTTTTTTCAATGTATTATTTATTTAGAATCAACATAAAAGAAATTTGAGATGACAAAGTTACTGGGTTTACAAATAAATCAGATTTATCATAGACGTTATCATTAATCTGATAGAGATAGATAAATTTGGGGATTTTAAATTATTTAATATATATGGGATAATTTGTTATTGAGTAAATATATATAGATTATTACAATATAAATGTTACAACATCCTAAGTAAAGCACACATAAATTCGAAATTTTACCAGAAACAACTACAAAAATTAATTATTCTTCATACGCTAATGCTATTAATTTGAAAAAGACTCTGATAATCATAGGAACAGGCCGTAAAATTTAAGTATATGAGATCCCTTATATAAATGGAGAACCAAAGTAGCTGAAATTGATTTAAAAACTTAAAGAACATTCAAATGATGTTTTAGCCCTTTAATTCTTTAATCTGCCATAAAAAAATGACTCTTTCGTCTCTGGTGCTGCAATGGTTGATAATTCAATAATCATATGGTCATAGGTACAAAATCCAAACAGCCCTATTTAATATGGTATGTAGTATAGATTGAAGGGACACTAGGATTAGGTGTCCAACTTACTTATTCATCCAATTAGAGAGGATATTATTATTTCAGGTTCTCAAGATTCAACAATAAAATTCTGGTCAAAAGATCATGAATGGAGTTGTTAGCAAACAATGAATGAATTTAAAACTGCGATAAATGGAATGGCAATTAATAATTTAGGTGACTAATTTGTATCTTGTTCAAAGGAAAAATTAATTATAGTAATGAGACCTGATCAATAATTTTAATGGTCTGTTAAATAACGAATAAAATTTCCTTAAGAAGTTTTTCGATTGTGTTTTATTACAAATGATCTATTGGCTATCTTACCACATATGGGAACTTAACTTCACTTTTTCGCTTAAAATGAACATTAGCACTTTGTTAAATCATTAGACCATTTAAATTTAGCAACACCTGGTGAATAATGTTTTCCCCTATTCCCACCTTGCTATTCTCCTATCACAGAGACACTTATAATAAAAAATGGAAACAAAGTCAATGTAGTAAAATTTTCATTCCTAAAGTCCAAAGAAGGAGTCTAGATTAGGGAAAGTGAAGGAGGATGGACTTGCAAATTAGAACAAGTAATTGAATATGTAGATTATTTTCTTTTTGGCTCAATGAGTAAAGACGGAGAATATCTTGTATCGTACTTATTCGATTAATTATCAATTCAAATTAGAAAATACACAATGTAAGAATGAGATCCAATTTACATAATTCACACAGTTATTCTTATTAAAAATTAAAACACTTATATTTAATATTTTACATTTATTGAATTGCCATTAAATTTAAGAATTAATTCATCAATATTTAATTTATAATAAAGTAAGAAATGTTATGCATCTTATAAAAACTACATCATGCTTTATAGATTTTAAACATTTTTACAAGTTAATAATCTTCTTTCATATTCAAACTGCTTCTTCTATTTTATTTACATTAAAATTATATTTTTTAAAGGAAAAACCTTCTTCTACTTCTCATTTAAAAACTTTTAGAATAGAGGGAGAAAAAGGATATAATGCTGGAAAACAACACTGGCCTACTTTAATTGAGAAATCATGGAGTAAAGTCATTCCACAACCGCAAATTTATAACAAATAAAAATCTCAGATGGTAAAATAAAAAAACTCTTTAGGGCTTAAATAGGCTTAATAGCGATAATAACATAAGAATTATCAAGTACCTTTATTGAAATAAAAGTCTAAAATTCTCTTTAATATATATTCAAACTCATTCACTAAGACAATCAATAATTTGATCATAGTAGCAATTTAATTTTATTATTTTAATCTTAAAACCAATTCTAAGGATAAAAAGTCATAGTTAATAAAATTTGATAAAATTCTTGGGATAGACCTTATCATTCAATTTCAATGATCAAATACTGATTTTTTAGATTTATTTATACAAAGATCTTTTTGCAAGTATATTGTATGTATCAAAAGAAGTGATTTAATATCTCCTCAAAGTATATCTATCCATACTAAATATGCTAATCTTATAGTATGAAGACTTATTTAACAAAATCATATGATAGAGGACTTACTTTAAACCTAAGTTTGATATTATAGATAATCACTTAAGAATCAATATTGGATGAATTTATAATTTTTATAGTATTTTCTACGAAGTAATAAATAACTAAATTAATGAAATGAATAAAGCAAAAATTATGTCATATTATATTCATTATTTATTTAATAATTTCACAAATACTCTTTGAATTATCTAATTTATATCTAACTGGAATTCCGATCCCATAAGATTAAATATTCACCATCATCACTTATTGCCCCAAATATCTAACCTTAATATATGACTTTATGGAATTGATTGCTATAATCAATAACTTACTCTAGTTTGTAATTGTAGTCTTAAGTTGTTTTAGAGAATCTTATCAAATTAACAGTTTATCCATTTTTGGCCATAAGTATTTATTTGGATGGGATGTATGTTTGTGGGAAATAGATGTGACACCATTATCCTTCTCCTTTTATTGATATTTATTTGGATTTAAAATAGCATCTTGAATTAGAATTCCAAGAATATACTAGAAGATTTTAAGAAGCCCTTAACCTATGATTATGAAGTATCAAAGGTTAAAATGCAAACATCTCATTATCAATGAAGCTTAGTCTAAATCCAATGGCCTTGTAAATTTTCTACTGAACTTACCAAAATTGTGTACTATCTTTTTACATAACTAAAATCAATCCATCTCGACCGCAGGAGATTAATTTATTTCCATCTTAGCTAATTGATAGACCATAAATTTAATCAGTGTGTTCTGTAATTGTCTGCCAACAAGTCCAATCAAATGATGTTGTTTAGTTGTTTTGATGCCAGAATTTAATTTACTTATCCTTAGAGCCACTAATAAAGACTTATTCTGAATTCTAAGATATCACTAGGCATGTAATTTGAAATGAATGATTCTTTAATTTTGTTAAATACTTTGNCAGTTATTCTTATTAAAAATTAAAACACTTATATTTAATATTTTACATTTATTGAATTGCCATTAAATTTAAGAATTAATTCATCAATATTTAATTTATAATAAAGTAAGAAATGTTATGCATCTTATAAAAACTACATCATGCTTTATAGATTTTAAACATTTTTACAAGTTAATAATCTTCTTTCATATTCAAACTGCTTCTTCTATTTTATTTACATTAAAATTATATTTTTTAAAGGAAAAACCTTCTTCTACTTCTCATTTAAAAACTTTTAGAATAGAGGGAGAAAAAGGATATAATGCTGGAAAACAACACTGGCCTACTTTAATTGAGAAATCATGGAGTAAAGTCATTCCACAACCGCAAATTTATAACAAATAAAAATCTCAGATGGTAAAATAAAAAAACTCTTTAGGGCTTAAATAGGCTTAATAGCGATAATAACATAAGAATTATCAAGTACCTTTATTGAAATAAAAGTCTAAAATTCTCTTTAATATATATTCAAACTCATTCACTAAGACAATCAATAATTTGATCATAGTAGCAATTTAATTTTATTATTTTAATCTTAAAACCAATTCTAAGGATAAAAAGTCATAGTTAATAAAATTTGATAAAATTCTTGGGATAGACCTTATCATTCAATTTCAATGATCAAATACTGATTTTTTAGATTTATTTATACAAAGATCTTTTTGCAAGTATATTGTATGTATCAAAAGAAGTGATTTAATATCTCCTCAAAGTATATCTATCCATACTAAATATGCTAATCTTATAGTATGAAGACTTATTTAACAAAATCATATGATAGAGGACTTACTTTAAACCTAAGTTTGATATTATAGATAATCACTTAAGAATCAATATTGGATGAATTTATAATTTTTATAGTATTTTCTACGAAGTAATAAATAACTAAATTAATGAAATGAATAAAGCAAAAATTATGTCATATTATATTCATTATTTATTTAATAATTTCACAAATACTCTTTGAATTATCTAATTTATATCTAACTGGAATTCCGATCCCATAAGATTAAATATTCACCATCATCACTTATTGCCCCAAATATCTAACCTTAATATATGACTTTATGGAATTGATTGCTATAATCAATAACTTACTCTAGTTTGTAATTGTAGTCTTAAGTTGTTTTAGAGAATCTTATCAAATTAACAGTTTATCCATTTTTGGCCATAAGTATTTATTTGGATGGGATGTATGTTTGTGGGAAATAGATGTGACACCATTATCCTTCTCCTTTTATTGATATTTATTTGGATTTAAAATAGCATCTTGAATTAGAATTCCAAGAATATACTAGAAGATTTTAAGAAGCCCTTAACCTATGATTATGAAGTATCAAAGGTTAAAATGCAAACATCTCATTATCAATGAAGCTTAGTCTAAATCCAATGGCCTTGTAAATTTTCTACTGAACTTACCAAAATTGTGTACTATCTTTTTACATAACTAAAATCAATCCATCTCGACCGCAGGAGATTAATTTATTTCCATCTTAGCTAATTGATAGACCATAAATTTAATCAGTGTGTTCTGTAATTGTCTGCCAACAAGTCCAATCAAATGATGTTGTTTAGTTGTTTTGATGCCAGAATTTAATTTACTTATCCTTAGAGCCACTAATAAAGACTTATTCTGAATTCTAAGATATCACTAGGCATGTAATTTGAAATGAATGATTCTTTAATTTTGTTAAATACTTTGGATTAGATAGAAGAGCTGTCGACCAGACAATGATAGAATTATCTGCTGAGCCAGAGATAAATTAATTTTTAATTTTAAAGAAATTTAGAGTTGTAACATGATCGCTATGTTTCTTTAGGTTTTGAATACTAAATAATTAACCTTCATTAACTTGGATTATTTTGATATCATTTGTGGATGCAGCTAAAAGAAGAGTATTGGTAAAGTTGATAGCAATGGCCATACAAATCTCCATCTTAATCTCATTAGTTTAAGGGAGAAGTTCATAAGAAAAGCGATTAAAATGATGATTAGTTTTTGATTCCGTTGACCCCATTGAATCAATAATATAAATATTCAAATTATATATGCTCAATAGGAAATTGATATCATTATCCTTTGTGGTTTCAATAATGTATACAATTAATTCATATAAATATTATGTATAATGTATCATAATTTATATTCATTCTTCTTTGCCTTATAATCCATTCCATTCTATTTCAAATATTATATTCCCTTTTAATAAACCAAATACCATGATTTTTTATTTTGACTAAAATATTTTTCAAAGTATAATAACACTAGAAAAGTAAACCAAACATCATCTTTTAGATTTTAATGATTCAAAAGATTCTTAAAATTGATTTTTGATATAATTTCTTTACTAATTCTAAAACATCCATTTGCTTGAGCAAAGTTAATCAATTTTTCATAAGTAAGTTAATCATTATCTGTCTTGTTTATGCTTTAATCTGTTTACTTTTCTTTTTATAATAATGGCTGAGTTTAGGGGGCATATCTTTAAGGTGAGGGAGATGTGTTAAAGTTTTAATACTTATTTGAAGGACCTCCTCCACCACAGCAGCCTGCAGACTGATATTATCGAGATGGTTGTTGAATATAAATACGGCGTTGATTCTACTAGCAAGCATTCAATTATTAATGGCGTATTGCTTATTTAGGTTGGACTATAGGTACTCTCTATTAGATCTATTATTTAAATTAATCTTCTAAATCACACACTTAACATATGAATGCCGTTTTTGAACACAAAATTTAATGTTAAACAGATAAATCAATTATATCTTTTGAATCAATTATGTCTTTATCGAGTTTTATAAAATTCACGTGATTTTAACCAAATTATAGGGAGTTTTCATAGTAAGTTATAAATTTGTAGATGGCCAATTTATGAAAATATTCATTGTTTTAAGATTCATTCAAGTTTAACTTTACAGAATATTAAATTTATTTTTAGTTTTATGGATCATAACAGTTGATCTTAAACTCTAGAATTTTAGGTGTCTCTTATTTTGAAAAAAGTATTTAGATTGTGAGTTCTTAATTCTTTTTCAAACTAACAATAGAGTTTGGATTAGGAATAATCGAGGCTATATTAGTTATGTTTGATTCCAGAGTAAAAGCCTCTAGATATGGAGTTAAGGAATCTTCCAATAGATCAATTATTTTTTCACTTATATCCTCCTTATCACTAACAATTTAATGTTTACCATTTCCAACTTCAGCCACTCTTCTGATCAAGTATTAACTACATCCTTCACCAATTCCTAAAGTATAGATTCTCGTTTATGCTAGGTTATTTTTCTGAACTAAATCAATTATCGGATCAGCATCATCCTCTCCATCTGTAAGCAAGAACACATTCAGAGTTGTATTTTTGGAAATTCCATAATTTTTGTTATATACCATCTCTTTTAATGGCTCAATTATACATGTTCCTCCCAAGTTAGCATCCATGTTTTGAACATGGTTAATTGCTGTCTCTAATGAACCTTATGAATAAGTTTTGGAATCCTTCCACAAAGTTTTAAATTAGCTACCAAACGAAATAACGTTAAACTCTGAATCTTAAGGCAAACTTTTTAGAAACAGAATCAAAGCCTCTTTGGCTTTTCTGATTCTTGATCCACTCATTGATCCACTTCGNTAATTTTAAAGAAATTTAGAGTTGTAACATGATCGCTATGTTTCTTTAGGTTTTGAATACTAAATAATTAACCTTCATTAACTTGGATTATTTTGATATCATTTGTGGATGCAGCTAAAAGAAGAGTATTGGTAAAGTTGATAGCAATGGCCATACAAATCTCCATCTTAATCTCATTAGTTTAAGGGAGAAGTTCATAAGAAAAGCGATTAAAATGATGATTAGTTTTTGATTCCGTTGACCCCATTGAATCAATAATATAAATATTCAAATTATATATGCTCAATAGGAAATTGATATCATTATCCTTTGTGGTTTCAATAATGTATACAATTAATTCATATAAATATTATGTATAATGTATCATAATTTATATTCATTCTTCTTTGCCTTATAATCCATTCCATTCTATTTCAAATATTATATTCCCTTTTAATAAACCAAATACCATGATTTTTTATTTTGACTAAAATATTTTTCAAAGTATAATAACACTAGAAAAGTAAACCAAACATCATCTTTTAGATTTTAATGATTCAAAAGATTCTTAAAATTGATTTTTGATATAATTTCTTTACTAATTCTAAAACATCCATTTGCTTGAGCAAAGTTAATCAATTTTTCATAAGTAAGTTAATCATTATCTGTCTTGTTTATGCTTTAATCTGTTTACTTTTCTTTTTATAATAATGGCTGAGTTTAGGGGGCATATCTTTAAGGTGAGGGAGATGTGTTAAAGTTTTAATACTTATTTGAAGGACCTCCTCCACCACAGCAGCCTGCAGACTGATATTATCGAGATGGTTGTTGAATATAAATACGGCGTTGATTCTACTAGCAAGCATTCAATTATTAATGGCGTATTGCTTATTTAGGTTGGACTATAGGTACTCTCTATTAGATCTATTATTTAAATTAATCTTCTAAATCACACACTTAACATATGAATGCCGTTTTTGAACACAAAATTTAATGTTAAACAGATAAATCAATTATATCTTTTGAATCAATTATGTCTTTATCGAGTTTTATAAAATTCACGTGATTTTAACCAAATTATAGGGAGTTTTCATAGTAAGTTATAAATTTGTAGATGGCCAATTTATGAAAATATTCATTGTTTTAAGATTCATTCAAGTTTAACTTTACAGAATATTAAATTTATTTTTAGTTTTATGGATCATAACAGTTGATCTTAAACTCTAGAATTTTAGGTGTCTCTTATTTTGAAAAAAGTATTTAGATTGTGAGTTCTTAATTCTTTTTCAAACTAACAATAGAGTTTGGATTAGGAATAATCGAGGCTATATTAGTTATGTTTGATTCCAGAGTAAAAGCCTCTAGATATGGAGTTAAGGAATCTTCCAATAGATCAATTATTTTTTCACTTATATCCTCCTTATCACTAACAATTTAATGTTTACCATTTCCAACTTCAGCCACTCTTCTGATCAAGTATTAACTACATCCTTCACCAATTCCTAAAGTATAGATTCTCGTTTATGCTAGGTTATTTTTCTGAACTAAATCAATTATCGGATCAGCATCATCCTCTCCATCTGTAAGCAAGAACACATTCAGAGTTGTATTTTTGGAAATTCCATAATTTTTGTTATATACCATCTCTTTTAATGGCTCAATTATACATGTTCCTCCCAAGTTAGCATCCATGTTTTGAACATGGTTAATTGCTGTCTCTAATGAACCTTATGAATAAGTTTTGGAATCCTTCCACAAAGTTTTAAATTAGCTACCAAACGAAATAACGTTAAACTCTGAATCTTAAGGCAAACTTTTTAGAAACAGAATCAAAGCCTCTTTGGCTTTTCTGATTCTTGATCCACTCATTGATCCACTTCGATCAATAATGAATAAGTAGTTCCCTCTTTTTATTTTTTGATTATCTGCTATATTTAATCCATCTAAATATTGCGAATAGGCATCATCCAAAGAAACTTCATTAAATTTTGGAATGAATGTTAATGTAGCACAATATTTTTAATATTGTAAGGCATCATTCATTGTATGACTTAGAACGGCCCGGGGTAGATTGATTTCATCTGAAGAAAAAAGTAAGGTAAATTATTTAATTGGGTTGTAGTTATTAGGAATATCTTCTAACTAGAGCATTAAATGTTTATTATTTTCTTTTACACTATTTTTTACATTAATTGATACAAGTTCATGAGTAGGGGATTTCCAAAACGTAATAGGTGATCCAAAATTTATCTCCACTTAAATTTCTTATTTAAATTTATATTCGAAATCTTAAATCCTAAATAATCTATTTAAATATTCATAAATCTGCTCATCTTAAATACCAATCATTTATTTTTTATTGACCTATACATAATTTTAATCAATGACTGGGAATAGTTCGATTTTCCAAAATTTATTTAGAAACACCTCTAAGGGTTGTATATACTCAAAAGTTATCTTCAATTATTTTTATGGTGCAAGTTATCCTACTTTTACTCGTTTTATCTAAGGAAATCTTGAATCCTATTCACTATATGCCATAGTTTTTCCTTGTTTTAGACCTTGTTCATACTCTTATTTCGCTTCCTCCTTTTCCTTTACTGTTCCATAAACTTTGGTTTTCCCTAGTTTAACGATCATTTTAGTAACAGCAGCGTTTTCATTAATCGAAAAAACATATTCCAGATCAATGGGCTCATTCTGTTTATTAGTTGAATATTTTAATTCTAATTGCACAATACAAAACCCAGGAAATATTTTGGCTGAATACTTTGCAAGTTATAAGGGTATTATTTTTTGTTTTATAATGTCATAGCAAACAAAAATATTGAAATTTTTATAGCAGCCATATCTTTTTTAATTATTTCCACTACCATCTTAAATAATCTAAGGTTCATATAACTATTTTTTCATTTCTATTTTATTATTCAATATGATATAAGCTGTATTTATGAGTAAACATTCTATTCATTACTGATCAATTTAATTTAAATATGTGATTAGAATTATAATCTTTATAAAATAAATCTTGATTCTAGATTTAATTAATAAAAATTCTATATATATAATGAGTCCCTTGTGAATTAAAATAATAAATTAATAGGTAAAGTTTAATATTAAGATTGAGGTTTAATTGTAAAAAGTAACACTAAAATGCTTATTAGACAAGGTAAAATTACAATTATATAATATTTATTCTTTTATTCTTAAACTTATAAATAAAAAATACTATATTTTCTTTAATTCTAATGCAATGGACAGTCTTAAATATGCTATAAATTCTTGATTTTCATTAATTCATCTTGAATTAAGTAATCATTTGACCTCTTGTTTAAAATATTGGGTGCGTAAATTAAAATGACTAAACCAAAACTTTTGAAATTCTCAAAAAACATTGTTTTAAAGACTTTAACAAGTTACAGATTACTTTCACCAAAAAGCAATTCTCTAAGGTATCACAACAAACAGAAATAACATATAAAATATGCAAAATAGTTTTAAGGTTAAATTTACCTATTTCACATTCTTTAATTATATCAAAATTTTAAGTCACTAATTTAGTTGTTATTTATAGAGATATTCAATGCAATTCATATTAGTTTATTGCTCTTCATCTATTAATCTCTAAATATTATTTCTAGTTGGCCCAATTCAATCTTTAAAAAATAAAATAATTGATTTTACATTTAACTCTCCTCAATAATTCAGGTTGGCTCAAATAATCGAATTGTTACAGCTTAGAAGAAATAAAAAGGAATTAACTTAAATACCGCTTTTTCAAACTTTCTAAAAATATCATTATTGAAAGAAAATAACAAATTTGATTTATATTAGAAGTAAAATAATTTTAGATGAGCAAAACAAACATTACATTGACTAAAATCCTAAGAAATAATAGTTGATTATATTTAATTTATCATATATCTTCTATTTGTTTTACAAAAACTCATGTTTTCAATTTAGATGATATTTTCTAAAGCAAAAATAGAATATTCCCAATCTTGCATAAAAATTTTGTTCAATAAATTCTAGCTTCCAAATACTAATCTGATGAAAAAATGGAATTTTATTACAAAAGGATATTATTTCATATTTTTAGAATTAAAAAATATAAATATTTCATTATAAGCATCGAAATTGTTTATTAAATTTTTCTATTGAATTAGATTTGAAAATAAAAGTAATGAAAAAAGCATGTAGATCAATCCCTTTAACCAAACTATCCTTTGAGATTACATTTTAATAGGGTATTAATTAAGCATTTAAATATAAAGAGAATTATAAATCAAAAAAGCATTTGAATTATTTCTGATAATTGGAGGAACATTTTTTATCGAGATATTAACGACTTAACTATATTGGATATATTTATATTGAATATAATTTAAAAATTCAGATGGAATTATGATTAAGTACAGCATTAAATGTAGGGTATTACCAAATAAATTGGCTGCCTTAATTAGATGTAAGTAGTATATTTAATAAATTATTCTATTTGCATTTGAAATATAATTTTCAGATCAATAAATGTTTTAAAGTCTGAGTTCCTTGCAACTGAAGGTATTAAATAATAATAAATCAAAGCTTTATTTGAATATTAGATTTGTAACTTATTAAAAACAATTCATTAATTAATTTGTTAATATCCTGATTTTTGAGAATAATATTTCAATATAATTTTAAGTTATCTTTCAAAAATATATGAACTAAGAGCCAATTTTCATATATTATCTTAAATTATACAGAATTATAAAGGAATTTGTATTAGTAATCAGAACGTTATTAATTAATTAGGTTTTAAAAGGATGATAAAATAAAATATTACTATTGATGAATAGGTGGCGTAAATGAATTAAATGACCACTTAATTTCTTATCATAAAAATATGTAAATTCACAGTTTTGGAATGGGTTGATATCAACTTAAATATCAACTCTAATTCATTATATTATATTTTAATCATATGGATATTACAATTACGAGTAATCTATTTTATTATATTATGAGA